ATTTGACTCCGTTAATCTGTTTCAAAAGTTGGTATGAACTGTTCGGACTCTCGATACTTCAATGTGTAAAGGATCAGTTTTTTTTTTTTAACATATTGGATTTACATTATATTTTATATATGATAAAATAAATAAACTATATTAAAAATAAATAAATAAATACCTTAAAAAAAAAAAGGGAATTAGATAAGCCTATGGAGCAGAGGTCCATCAGTGGCTATTAGCCACGAGGTATAGATAGGGACTCTGGGGCAAGTGATGCTCTGTCTTCTTGGTGCTTGGGGGGGTCAACAGTGGGAGGGCTTCTAATGTCCTGGCCCCACTGGTGGACCTCCTGATGGCACCTGGTATTTCTGGCCACTGTGTGATACAGAGTGTTGGACTGGATGGGCCTTTGGCCTGATCCAACATTGGCGTCTCTTACGTTCTTATGATTCTTTTTATGAAAGACTGAAAACTCACTGGGTGATCATTTCCTCTCCGGATCTTTGCCCCTCCACCTGGTCCAGTACCCCACCCCTCACCTATTACTTGCCTGTTGTGCCTGCAGGGATATAGTCAGGTTGGCCTGGAAGAGTAAAACTGGTGCACACAGAGTCGAATTCAAATTCTCTTCTCTTTTTTCATGGTGAAAAGGACCAGTGACTGCCAAACCCGACCTGATCTCCTGGCTGGAAGGAGACGAAGAGGTGTTCTTCCTGTTCTCGGCTGAAGAGGAAGGACTGGCAGGTTTGTGGTGGGACGGTGTGTTGCTTCTTCTTCCTTCCTAGGGCGGGTGGGTTTCTTGTATGACCTTCTTTATCCTAAGAGCTGGTTTTCCTCCAAAGAGCTGGAGTGAGTTCTGATTGGTGAAAAGGTTCCTGTGGAGGTTGAGGAGCAAAGAATAAAGCAATCTATAGCTTGCATCACTGCCTGAGGAGAAACTCCCTGGCTTGTGGATTAGTTTTTGAGAAGCCCCTCTGAACCCCTGATCCTTCTGTAACAGTATAAGACCAGATTACCAGCAAAGGCTTTTGAAAGTGTGTCTAGACACCAGGCTTCTGAATTCTTGCACTCCGCACCACAGTTAATGTAGTCCATTCTCTCATGTTCCTGCTCTGTTCTTCACACTGTTCATGATAAGTGTCTCTTTCTTTCAGCTGGGGGTATGCAGAGAATTCAGGGAGATGCAGAACAATATCAGTGCCCGGAGTATGGAGAGCGTGGAGAAACCATATGAATTCCTGAAATGCTTCAAGCAGAGTGGAAGCCTAATGCATCACTGGAGAATTCACACAGGGGAGAAACCATATCTATACCTCAAATGTGAGGAAAGCTTCAAGCAGAGTGGAAGCCTTAGGTATCATCAGAGAACTCACACAGGGGAGAAACTGTATAAATGCCTTGAATGTGGAAAAAGCTTCAAGCAGAGTGGAGGCCTTAGGTATCATCAGAGAATTCACACTGGGGAGAAACCATATAAATGCCTGGAATGTGGAAACGGCTTTACGAGCAAAAAACCCCTTACTTGCCATCAAATAATTCACACTGGGGAGAAACCATATAAATGTCTGGAATGTGGGAAAAGCTTCACACGGAAGAATACTCTAACTTTCCATCAAAGAATTCACACAGGGGAGAAACCATATAAATGCCTGGAGTGTGGGAAAAGCTTTCGACAGAAGTCTAAATTAACTGTCCATCAAAGAATCCACACAGGTGAGAATCCATATAAATGCCTGGAGTGTGGAAACAGCTTTACTAGCAAACAAAGCCTTATTTACCATGAAAGAATTCATACAGGAGAGAAACCATATAAATGTCTTGAGTGTGGAAAAAGCTTTCCACGGAAGGATATGCTAACTTTCCATCAAAGAATTCACACAGGGGAGAAACCATATAAATGCCTGGAGTGTGGAAACTGCTTTATTAGCAAACAAAGCCTTACTTACCATGAAAGAATGCATACAAGGGAGAAACTGTATAAATGTTTGGAGTGTGGAAAAAGCTTTCCACGGAAGGATATGCTAACTTTCCATCAAAGAATTCACACAGGGGAGAAACCATATAAATGCCTGGAGTGTGGAAACTGCTTTACTAACAAACAAAGCCTTACTTACCATCAAAGAATTCATACAGGGGAGAAACCCTATAAATGCCTACAGTGTGGAAAGTACTTTAATAGCAAAGGAGGCATTACTTACCATGTAAGAATTCATACAGGGGAGAAACCCTATATATGCCTGGAGTGTGGAAAGTCCTTTAGTAGCAAAGGAGGCCTTACTTACCATGAAAGAATACATACAGGGGAGAAACCCTATAAATGCCTGGAGAGTGGAAAGTACTTTAATAGCAAAGGAGGCATTACTTACCATGTAAGAATTCATACAGGGGAGAAACCCTATATATGCCTGGAGTGTGGAAAGTCCTTTAGTAGCAAAGGAGGCCTTACTTACCATGAAAGAATACATACAGGGGAGAAACCCTATAAATGCCTGGAGTGTGGAAAGTACTTCAGTAGCAAAGGAGGCCTCACTCACCACGAAAGAATTCATACAGGGGAGAAACCATACACATCCATGGTATGGCAACAGTTTTCCACGGAAGGAGACACTAACTTAGCAAACTGCGGAGTAAGCGTAGAAATGCCTGGAGTGTGGGAAGAAAAGGAGACTGTAAAATTAGAAACCAACCTTATTTCCATCATTAAAATACTGTCTTAAACCATTCTTTTTCAGTAGAAAAGAGGAAGAGTCCAGTCTAGATATCTGAAGAAGTGAGCTGTGACTCATGAAAGCTCATCTCCTGCCACAAATTTAGTTAGTCTTTAAGGTGCTACCAGGCTCTTGCTCTTTTATACTGTGACATTAACACAGCTATCTATTGCATTCTGTTTCACACCTTTTGTGGAATGCTAGAACTGTAGGTCTTCCTCAACTTGTTGGGCAGGACATTCCCCCAAGTGGGAGCCACATAAGTGAATTCTTCTGCATGTGTTGCTCTCCATCTCACCCATTATTGTTACACAGATGAGAAAAGCAGCAGCACTAAATCGTATTGAGAGAAGCAGTCCTGTAGCTCTGTAGAGCTTAAGCCCTGAAAGACTTTGTCAGTGATATTGACATAAACTGAAAAACTGTACAATCTCCAAAGAAGCAACTCACTTATGTGTCAGAGACATTCTGTTCCTTACCCCCAAATAATCAAGCTGCAACTTTCTGTACCAGTTAGAGATTCTGACTTCATGGGTGGACCCATGTAGAGTGCATTGCTGTAGATTGTCTGCCTGGTTACTGTGGCTTTAACTTTCATTGTGTGTATCGATTCTATTCTGAGCATTCCCTGTATTCTGAGGAGAATCAAATGTTGTGCTTCGATAAAATGTATATGATGTAGTTAAATAGCGTTGAACTGGATGTTTTCTCTTACGTCCTTACTTTCTTCCCCCATCTTTCAATATAGAGATATCTGGGAATTCCAGCGTGAACCTTTCTCTGCTTAGCATTCAAAAGGAACTGCGTAAAAATACATAAGGAATAAGATTGCAGATGTGGGACAACACAAGTCAGCTCCAATGTTCCCTCGGCTCACATCTTTTTGTCTTAGCTCAGGAAGGATGGCTCCAGAGCAAACTAATTTATGCAGCAGCCAAATCGCTTGCTCACAACTTTAATGCCAGTAGAATGTGTAACTCCTGCAACTACACATATACTTAAACACAGACATAAGAGAGGCAAAACAACCAATGCACTTTAACATTTAAAATAAACTCTTTATATAAACAAAGCATGGAATTTTTCAGATAAATCCTCATTCATTCCTGGTTGGTTGCTATTACTTCATAGCAACGCATCTTCAGGATATTACCGAGTACAGATATCTTCAGCATCCACAAGGATGCACAGAACAGGAAAAAAACACTAAGCACATAGATAATGCATATATTGTAGGTCCATATGTTGTAAGCTCACAGATACGGGAACAGCATATGAGGTTTCCAGGCTGTACTTGGGAGGCTGCAGCTCTTCTCAGTTGAATCCAGGATTTACCTGCAATAATTCAAGGCCGGCCTTAACACAGCAAAGCCTATACAGGCCTGTCCCCAAACTTCTAATGATGTTGCCTCTTTCTGGGCCAGGCTGAACTGCTCGGTTGCATTAACAAACAGAATGCTAAGGAAGATATATTGCTGCCCCGGCCACACGGGCCGGAAAATGCGGGGGAGAAGCGTGGCTGTTTGACCCGGAGCAAAATAACGCGCGGCCGCCCGATCACACGTCCCGTCGAGTTCCCGTGGTTAGGGTGCGAGGTGCTGATCACACGGGTATCCTGCAGCGCGGCGAAGAAGCGGCTCTGCGCGATCACACCAGCGATCGCCAGCCGCCGCTTTCGTGGCAAACGGGATTTTTTTTTCTCACCAAAAGGTGAGCATGCGCATGATCGTTTGTGTGCATTCTGTGAAGACTTTTAAAAAAACCTAACTGGTTTGCGACGGGACTAGGACGGGACGTGATCAGACACCCGCCCTTGCCCTGCGTTTTCCAGAAACTAGTACATCGTAAGTACTAGTTTTTTACTCTGTATCTTCAGCACGAAGCCACGGGTTAGCCACGGGTGCACTACACTTCCCAGATGTTGCGGTGTGATCGCGCCCAGAAAATCCGCCTATCATCTGTCTCTGTAGCGCGGCAAATGCTTCGTGTGACAGTTTTAAAAGGACCAATAACTATAAAATTACATATTTTCACAATCATATGAAATTACTATTAAGAATCTTAATAGTCCCAAACCAACATTGAATAACTTCCCAAGAAGTAACTTCACCTCTGTTTGGAAGGATCTCTAATAATTACATTGGTTAACAGCATTTACCTGCAATAATTCTGGTAGCTATGCTGCCATGGTGGTTGGGGAGTTGATTCTGTGTCTTGTTAATTGCTATTGCATTCCTATCCCTGCTGTTATGCCTTTGCTGAAATACCTCAATCATGTCACCCCTCAGTCGTCGTTTCTCCAAGCTAAAGAGCCCTAAGCGCCTTAACCTTTCCTCATAGGGAAAGTGTTCCAACCCTTTTATCATTCGAGTTGCCCTTTTCTGCACTTTTTCCAAAGCTATAATATCCTTTTTAAGGTGTGGTGACCAGAATTGCACACAGTATTCCAAATGAGGTCTCACCATTGATTTATATAGGGGCATTATTATATTGGCTGATCTGTTTTCAATACCCTTCCTAATAATCCCCAGCATAGCATTTGCCTTCTTTATTGCAGTCACACACTGTCTTGACATTTTCAGTGAGTTATCTACTACAACTCCAAGATCTCTCTCTTGATCAGTCTCTGCCAGTTCAGACCCCATCAACGTGTATTTATATTTAGGATTTTTGGCTCCAATGTGCATCACCTTGCACTTGGCCACATTGAACCCCATTTGCCATGTTGACGCCCACTTGCCCATCTTTGACAGATCCCTTTGGAGTGCCTCACAAGCGTGCTGGTCTTTTTGCACTTTTTGGGTGTCCTTTGGGTTCTCCTACCTGAGCAGGGTAGCTGTGAAGATGTTCCCCAAATTGACCTCCAGTGCTGGGATAATGGGATGCAGCTTCCTTCCTGAGTGCTCCCTTCCTGTACTGAGATCTGATTGGCTGAGGCAGCGGACATCCCACTATGGCCTCCCCCACCGACCAACTCAAATAACAGGCCTCTCGCAACCAGTTAAACCTGTCTGAATTGTGGTTGTGTTTTAATGTTTATTATCGTTTTAAATGGTTTAAATTTTTAACTGTCTCTATTGAATGGAAGGGGCGGGCTATAAATACAAATGATAAATACTAAGGAGCATCTAATGATGAAAATGAGCGATCCCCTACAGTTTCCAATACCGTTTTAATATTCAGACTCTGAAAGCCTTCATCTAGCATAAAGGTAAAGGTTCCCTTGCTCGAAAGCCAGTCGAATCCGACTCTAGGGTTGTGGTGCTCATCTCCGTTTCAAAGCCGAAGAGCCAGCGCTGTCCGAAGACGTTTTCGTGGTCATGTGGCCGGCATGACTAAACACCAAGGCGCACAGAACGCTGTTCCCTTCCCACCGAAGTGGTACCTATTTATCTACTTGCAATTTCTTGCTTTCGAACTGCTAGGTTGGCAGGAGCTGGAACTAGAGAGGGGAGCTCACCCCATCATGCGGCACCCGGGTCTCGAACCGCTGAACTACTGACCTTCCACAGCCTGCAGTTCAGCGTCTTAACCACTTGAGCCACCGCAGCTCCTTCATCTAGCATACCACAACTGAAAAAAAGCACATTTGCTTTGCTGATTTTATTTTATTTATATGCCTTATATAAGTGCGCGGACTCTAATCTGGGAGAACCGGGTTTGATTCCCCCCACTCCTCCACTTGCAGCTGCAGGTTTATCCTTGCAGGAGAGGTGCAAAAAATTCTCTTTGAACCAACTGGCATAAACCCCAGTTTCTTTCCTGATATATATATATATATTTGTGGTGGTGGGGAAGGCGGCAGACGTGCGGCCCGAGCCTTGGATGTGGGCGGATCGTCATTTATATGATCTGATGTCCCGGGACATTTCTCCGCCTTTCCTTTCTCTCTCCCCGGTCGCTTTTTGAGATCCTCTCCAAGAGTTAAACGGAGAGAGTCCTCCATCCTAGAGAGGCCCGGATGGGGGCAGGAGTCTGCAATGCAAGACCCAAAGTGAAGAGAAAGAAGGAGGGGGTGCACTTTATTGGGGGGGAGAGACCCCCCCCCTCGATCCGAAAAGTCGCTTTGTGCAGAGGCAAAGAAACCCCCCAAGGAAGCTCCGGGGAAGAAAGACTGGCAGGAGATGTGCAAAAGGAAAGGAACGTCCTTGCCCTTTGGGGCCGGGGTGGGTGAGGTTAGTGAGTTAAACCTGGGGAGGAGCAGGACATTTTAGGTGGTGGGGGGGGAATACCCCCCCCCACTCCTTCTGCCCCTCCATTTCTTCCCCACCCAGCCCCAAGGTGGCTTTGGCTTCTTCGCCCATCGGGTTCTCCAACAATGCAGGACACAATGCAGCCATGTCCTTTGCTCTTTGGGAAGCTAGGTTTTTTTTTGGGGGGGGGGCGTTGGGTTGCTAAATCTGGATTGGAATATTAGTGGAGATTTGCCGTGCGGTGCCCCGGGGAGGGTTTGGGGGAGGCAGGAAGCTCCGTGAAATTCAGCGTTTGTTAAGTGTAAAGTGATGCACATTTAGACCAAAAAAATCCCAACTTCAAGTCTAGGCCGATGGGGTCTGAACCAATGTTCCCTCTAAGCTGTGGAGTCTTGTGAGCAAAAATTCTACTTGGTGAGCGACTGGCATTAAAGTTGTGAGCGAGCGATTTGGCTGCTGCATAAATTAGTTTGCTCTGGAGCTATCTTTCCTGGGCTAAGACAAAAATGTGTGAGCTGGAGGCTAAAAAACTGTGAGCTAGCTCACACTAACTCGGCTTAGAGGGAACACTGGTCTGAACTTGTCGAGACTGAGAAGGGAAAAGGTCTTGGGGTCGCAGTCAATGTTCCCTTTAAGCTGTGGAGTCTTGTGAGCAAAAATTCTGCTGGCATTAAAGTTGTGAGCAAGCGATTTGGCTGCTGCATAAATTAGTTTGCTCTGGAGTCCTCCTTCCTGAGCTAAGACAGAAATCTGTGAGCGGGAGGCTAAACAACTGTGAGCTAGCTCACACTAACTCAGCTTGGAACACTGGTTGC